GAGCACGTGTGTGTGTGTGTGAGCACGTGTGTGTGTGTGTGTGTGTGTGAGAGAGAGAGAGAGAGAGAGAGCTAGAGGTGTGTGTGAGAGAGAGAGAGCTAGAGGTGTGTGAGAGAGCGAGAGAGAGAGCTGTGCGTGTGTGTGTGAAGGAGAGAGAGAGAGACAGAGAGCGAGAGAGGACGGATGAAAGGATAGACGGCAGCAGTGCATATATTGTATATTTACGGCAATCAGCAGAGCGTCTCATTGCGCAACCATGCGTGTACGCAAGTCGCGCGATCACTGTGTGAGTGGATGTCCGGATGCGTAGCCTGGAGGCTAGGTGACCGGTTCCGGACGCGTAGCCACTGCGTTATATAAAACCTGGGGTGGCTGAAAATAGGTTACTTGTCTCTAGGTGCTTTAACTACCAAATACTGCACAGTATTAATACTTTGATTATTCCTAAACAGTGAATACATTTTGTTTTGGATAATTGTATCATCTTGATTTTAAGTGAACTCTCCAATATTTAATTATCTTCCATTAGAAAATCTGTGGAATGAATAAATCATTTCTTTTTGAAGGTTACTGTCCAGCTTTTCTACGAAATTTTATCGATTTTTCGGTTTCATTCTTATACGATCGCTAACACTAGGTGCCACCTCTGTACACACTCATTTCTCCATATATGCCTATGCATGTGAACGTTTAGAGCGTTCTCATTGCCTACTCACGTGTGCAGTGGCCCACAGCTGTTTAAATACACATGTATTGGTGACGTTGAGATGCAATCAAGAGTAGCCGGTTGCTAACCGCAACCATTCTTTCTTTTGCCGTGTGGCCATAAATTAATAACGTTCCTCATTACCACTGCCCAGGTTTGTTGACACACAGATTAGTGATGTCATGCAGTGGGCGATGTTCATGCGTTTCGGATCGAATTGCATGTGGTAACCTCGTAATTTCTTACAATTTCTCAAGGTGCATAGAACATTTGACCAATTAAGTGGTTGGATTTAGACATGGATATGTCGCAGTAAGTACTAACAGTAGATGTTTCACATACGTTCACCCATTTTGCACACAGGCGGTCACTCATTGTGAAAAATAGAAAAACGCTGATTTTTCCATTTCGATTTCTGCCACAGTAGCCGATGTATAAAGGGATATTTCTCTGTGATTACAACTCGGAGAATAATTAAATTATACATTCATTTTAATGGTACAACATATTGCTGTAAAAAAGTGCTTCAGGGATTGTTATTTTAAAAGTGCCGTATTTTATGAGCTATGCCAATTTTTCAATTGGAACATACAACTTGAGTTACTTTTAAGCAGTTTTTTCCATTTTCCTCGGTAAATATAAAACTTAAAGAAAAATCCTGACGCTCTATTTTGGTACGTATTGTGCTTAACTTGTGGCAAAAATTTTGCTTCCACACTGTCGTAATTGAGAAAGATCCAAAATTCCATTTTTACATAAAAATTTAACATTTGTGTTTGTCACATAATTAGGTGCTGGAAATTTCATGAAAATTTTCAGCTTGAGCATAGTGATACACCTCATCTATAAATAAAACGCGTGATTGATTTGATTCATTTGTCAATAAACGATTACTCTTCATTAGAGCAATACCCGTGCAAAAGCTAAACAGTATCCTTAAAGTATCATGTAAATTTGCATTTTTTAATCTCATAAATGATTTTTGGGCTAACTACTGGAATGCTTGCATCAGTGCCATGCTACACTTACTGAATGTGTGCATGAAACATCTAAGAGTTGTATTTGTAAAAGCCATGCTGCATGTGCATACTACAATTTGTTTCTTGTTAAATTCATCTATGTTAAATACACGGCTGTTGAGGTGCTTCTAAGCACATTTTCCTCAAAGTAATGTTATATCATGTATTTACTGAGAAGTACTAGAGAGAAAGGAGATGGAGAAAGGGAAACAAAAACAATACTACGATGTAGGTGCTAAGGGTCTACAACACTTGAATGCTGGAGATAATGTGAGAATCTATGATCACTGCAAGGAACAATGGATTAGCAGAGAGTGCAGTTAAGACAGCAAAGAAGGTTATAATGAAAGGCAGTCTGTATGAGGGTCTACTTGCCTATCGCGCCTCACCATTACCATGTGGCCAGTCACCAGCACAACTGCTAATGAAACATCGAATTAAGACTACACTTCCAATCCATTCATCCCTACTGAAATCCGAGAGAGATGTAGAAGTACTACATAGAAAGGAGATGGAGAAAGGGAAACAAAAACAATACTAAGGTGCTAAGTGTCTACAGTACTTGAATGCTGGAGATAATGTGAGAATCTATGATCACAGCAAGGAACAATGGGCAGAGTTTGGAGTTGTTGTCAAGCAAAGTGCAGATAGATCATACGAAGTGGAGACACAACGAGGCTTCATACTCCGTAGAAATAGACGTGATCTGAAGCCAGACACAGCTGATAACTCATGGATACCAGACTCTGTGGTGAAACCACCAGATTCAAGCCAACATGACACAAGCCCTACTACATAACAGCGACTCCAGTAGCAAGTTAAGCAATGAGTCGTCCACAACGAAACGTAAGACCTCCAAAAAGACTCATTGAATCCATGGAATAGAATCGATGACTACATTTGTTATTGTAAACATTAAGGTTAAACTAGTTTATGGGTCACTATGTTCAGTGGAAAAGGGGCAGAATAGCCCCTTAATGATGGTTTGATGTGTTGGACAGTCTACCCAATACCTTCAGTTAGGCTCATAGGTCTATGTCCCCCAGGGTACTGCCGGAACGTACCCTGGTACGGTCCGGTATACCAGAACGTACCCTGGTAACTATCTGATATGGTTAGGGTTAGGGAGTAGGCGTAGGCGATTCCCTAGACTCGTTAGTGGAGTAGGCGAGGTACGGTCCGGCATATTAGATAGTACCAGGGTACGTTTCGGCAGTACCCTGGGGGACACTCTCAGCTTCAGTTACTTAGTGTTACATTCTTACAATTGTTTTACATTTATATGTTATATTGAGATAATTGCAAGACTTTTACATTATTTAACAGAGAACTTGCTAAGAGGAACTTTGATTATGGTACCAAGAACTGTCAAAGACACTCATCGAGTAACAAAGACATTTTAGAATTGTAATTATCAGGATTCCCTCTCAGGCAAGTAGGATGCACTATGTTGCAGCCATATTGTATAATTGTGTTCCTGTATCTTACATCGGTTGGAAAAGGGGAGGTGTGTTGAGACTAGTTCCTTGTTTTGGTTTATGTTAATATGCGTCCGGGTTTTCAATGTATGCGTACTTCCGCTTCCGTTGTGGCGAATACACGTTTTCAGTATGTTTATGTTTAACTGGTGTTTGTCCATTTATTATAAACCATGGCCATTATGCAATAACAAAAATAAAACATGTACCATCAATAAAATAAAATGGATGATGATTATAATGTATAATGATGCAAAACTCTTCCTGCTGTTTGCGTTTGTTGTCGATATTCTGCATAGTAAGGTATACCTACTAGTACTATAAATCTAACGTCAAGGCATATAGTATTAGAATTTCGCTACACTGAGAAGTCTGAAAACGAAAGCATACCCACAGTCTCACAGATGAAATAATACCAGTTTAGCAATAACGTAATTATTAAAACGTTTTACCAATTTGTCATCCTGTTATATCTTTCGTCGTTGCCAATGTGTTTATTCTACGTGCGGTGCCCAGTATCGAAAATTATAGTTTTACTTTTTATTATTTTATTATATTTTAAAGGAACAGTAGCCTCAGGCTTCTATGGTTATTTTCAGCTAATTTAGGTTATAATTGCCGCTACATAAAAAGTTTCATGTTCAATCACCATTAGAACATATTTGTTAAAAAATGTTTTAAAACTAACACATTACAGTTGATTACAACGACGCGTGGCGCCACTCAGAGCGCCACGATCTGCCAGAAGTTGGCGCAAACGGCACTTTGTCCAGCAAGGCGGCTACAGACCAGGGTATTCTTATTTATCATTTAAAAGGCAAAAGGATTGTAATATCTTATAAACGGACATATAGTTTCAGTTATAATATGGATAAATTTGCCCTAAAATGAATATCGTCGGTTAAATAGCATTTAGGTATAAATATAATTGCACTTTGTGATTAGCCCTCGTCATTTACCTGCAAAATAAAAATGCAAATACGCAACTTTTCAGGGTGACAGCACGGTCGCGGGTGTCATGGCCGTTTCAAATTTCGTAGCGTTGATGTTTAAATACATTAGTGGTATAGACGATTTGTTATACAGTAAGTACAGTTGTATGCAGTAAAATCCTAGAGGCTACTGTCCCTTTAAGCGCTTTTTGCACTATTGCATCAGTCAAATTTGTTCTCTATGAAACATCGCATTTGGTACTTGTATGCGATTTATATCAGGAGTCTATCAATATTGATAGACTCCTGATTTATATGCAGTACGTAGGCCTAATTATTGAATAATATTATTGTTAAGCCCGGTGCACACGTGAGTTATTTTACTCAAGTAAAATAACGCATGAGTCATTTTACTAAGTGTGCGGCGGATTTTCGTTGAGTAATTTGACTCGTGCGTCATTTTACTCACGTGTGCGGCGGATTTTCGTTGAGTAATTTGACTCCTGCGTCATTTTACTTGAGTAAAATAACTCACGTGTCCGCCGGGCATTAGTAATAATATTTTAAGAATTTTGCTGCAGCATTAGTAGATTTAACAATGTTAGTAACAGTTGCAGACAGCAGGCGGCAGCTATTGCAATTAAACTGCTACTACTGCTGCCGCGCCGCTGTGGCTGCTTGCTGCTGCTATCTAGAGTAGGACATACAATACAGACCAAGCTTGGAAATAGGGCAGGTTTATATTAGATAAAAACAGCAAGTGTGTTTTTCATACCTGGCTTCTATGAATAAAAGTGCGCATTCCACCAAGATTTGTAATTCAATGTTTGTTATCTTTATACGTGACTGAGTAACAAGCTAAGGTGCATTCATAACGACAAAGTCTGAAGGTAGTGAAATCATAACGAGTATTTATAATAAATTAATAATTATTATAATTAGTGTTATTGTCATATGAGGATGACGTTCCCCAGCTAACAAATCCATCTCTTGAGAGTAAATTGGAACATGAGCTCGGCGATGGCATGTTGAGTTCGGCGTTCGCAATTAGGTCAGCTATAATTTGAGAGCGAATATGCTCCAACGATATATCTGACACCCCAAAGCCTTAGCAGCCAGTATAATTACATGACGTGCTGCCGAGGGTGTTTATATCAATACGATCACATCTGTGGGAATAACCGATAATAATTCACCCACCGAGGCGTGAGATAACCTTCGCGTAATGCTGCTAGCAATCAACAGGTATCACAATTGAATACCTGTATTTAGTTACGACGTCCACAAGCGAGGCTCATACGCAAGCGCGCACACGAAGGCGGGGCCTGACAAGATAAGGAGGCTGCTGCTATAAATTCTGTTCGGCCCGCAGCCGTCACAATGTCATCTTTTACTGCACGTCGTGTAACGTGCGCAAACTGAGTATAGCGACCAATTGCACAGACAAGCTGACGCGTCGTGGAGAAGTGCAGGTACATGTACAGTTATCAGATCAACGGTGCGTATATATAATTTTATAGTTGATTATACCCCTTTTCACTTATAATTATATATGTGTGTGTGCGTGCGTGCGTGCGCGCGTGTGTGTCTATTAGCAGGTACTGGATTTTCTGTATGGAATAAGTTGGAGTCGCTCTCGTTTATCCGTGCTGCGATTTCAATGTTTATAATGAGTTCCTGTGTTTGCTCCACGTAGGCCTTCGTGTTACAAAACCGAATCCAACTAAACTATCTTCTTTTTTGTGTGAATAAATTTAGCTATGGTTCGCAGGAAAGGGCGATGTATAAAACCTTTTGAATAACCCTGAACTTAAAATCCGGAAATTGAGTTGAAATCCGCGATGAAAAGTGCAATGAGTGGTTCACTAAGACGCAACGCGGGGTTGATATCTATTTGCTTAGTTTATGTCATTTAAGTGGCAGCATACTATGATGTTGTCAGTGCTGATTCCTGTTATAATAATTTATTTTATTTTATTTGAGCGGTTAGGTTGCGGGTAAACTCCGTTTCATCCTTTCTTTTCCTGTGCTTGGCCCTTTGGCGAGAACGAACAGCCCTCCCATTGCGTTTCGTGGGTAGGCCTATACGTTTGTTGCTTGGTGCTATCGTCAGGGTATAGAAGATGGGGCACGAATGTCGGGCTTGTGACCGCCGATCAGTAGAATAGTGGTTATATAACCAGGTCAAATATTAGCAAAGTTAATCATAGGCGTGTGAATAATCGGAAAAATATGGATATTTCGATATGATAATACCTGATAATATAATAAAAAAAATACAGATGTCATTATTTATTGATTGTAGTTAAGACTAATATTAATATCATAATAATAAATATTAACCTAATTGATTTAAGTATAAAAATCAAATATATTAATAATAATACTCATAATAATATAATAGGAAATAATTATATACATATATAATATAATAATATTACTATAAAATATTAAATAAATATAATAAATACTGAATTTCTGTGTAGTTTCATGTTGTTATTTACAATCGTCGCTCAACTGTCGTACAACAATCATCGTACAAACGTCTGGCTGAGGAAATAACTATGATACGCGTATCTAGCATATCTATAATGTATTTTGCGTTTTCCGATTTCATTTATTATGGGTTTGAAGAGAATGCCTATAAACTACGAGAAAATGAGTAATGGCATGATATTTACGCTGTCGTAAAACAATGCACGTGGTTTAGCATTAATATACCTCCAGAGACGTACGCCGTGTACATGCTAATTAGTCCTTGTGCTAATTAGTCGAATCTGACGAAGAGGGCGATCCACGGTGCTAATTGGTCCGCGTGTACGCTTTCATATTACCTAAATATTCATATATTATGCTCTCATCGTTTAATAGGACATTTACCGGTACACACCGTGTGTGTGTGTGTGGGGGTGTGTGTGTGTGTGTGTGTGTGTGTGTGTGTGTGTGTGTG